AACTCACCTAGAGGTGTTACAAGTGCAGGTGAAATGAACTGAAACTGCGAAAAATATGTGGGTCCTACACTTAACCGCTTCGTAATTTCTGGACTGCTTAAAATTCATGTTCGACGTTAGTTAAACTAGCGTTAAAACACCAATAAAGAGTGTTGCGTGAGATGTTAAAATTCAAGTTCGAGGTTAGTTAAACTCGCGTCAAAACACCAATAAAGAGTGTTGTGTGGGATGTTATCTGTTCGCTTGGGCAGCGAACCGTGAATTTTCTTTTGTTTTCGTAAGTTTGAAAATTTTCCTCAAGATCGTAAAAGTACATGGTTTAAAAATTCCTTACAAAGAGCATTAAGTCGTCACTTAAAAGCTCCAGACTAATTTGACAAAAAAGGCTAAAAGACATGGCAAAAGGTTTAAGTAATTAAAGCTTTATAATTTAACTATTTGGCTGAACTGATCGAGCCATGCAGTTTTATTTTTAGAAGTAATTTTCAATACTTAACTAGCGAATAATTTTATTAAAAACTCTCTATTAATGCAGTTTTTCATGTAGGGAATAGTCATGGCGCGGTAGATATGGAGTTTTTCTTCGACCGTTGAACTCCATATCTCACGAGTGAGCATAAGGAAAGAGTGAGTCATTGAATTGAACATGAGTAGATAATACCATATCTACAAGTAGCCATGTAATATTTTGTTTATTAAAGAAATGTCATAAGCCTTTGCTGACATGGAAAAAAGTTAACTTTATTAATGAATGAACCCGACAGAGTGGCGCGAAAGGCGAGTAACGTTTAGCGGTTGATTGGCAAAGTCAAACGCACGTGAAAATTATGGTAACTATACACTTCCTCTCAGGGCTGAAAATCCTTGCAAAACAGCCCTCAGTTTATATCACAAATGGGAATTTTGAACCGAAGGAGGGGGTGGATCAGGTACACTACGTAACAGAGCAACAGTCTGGAAACAGAAAATAAATAAGCCAAGCAAACATAAAACATTAAAAAGAATTCAGAAAAAAAAATGGATTAAGAAGGTATTTTGGATAGAAAAGCGGCCAACATTCTGTTGTTGTGCTTGCAGAGTGAATAGTTTGTAAAAGCTCAAGGAAAATGTTACCTTTTGATATTCTTCATGGCTGAAAAAATTAAGAATGACAACGACGTGTTTGACCCTTTAACCTCCGAGAGTGATTAGCATCGAATTTCTCCTTATAATATCGCCCTGAACCAAACAATCAGGTCACGACAATAAGGGAAATGATCACCAATTAAGAAAGCGCCTGATTGCAAGACAAATTCTCATTGTTATTTCCCTAGGAATGTTTATAAAGTAGTTTGGAGAATACTCATAGTGTTGTTAGTGTGTAAAGGGCTAGGTAAATCATTTTTTCTTTAAGCAGTGTGCTCTTGACATGGAATGAAATGTACTGAGTAGTAGTTTGATATCATATTTAACGAAACCAAAACACTTTGTTGATCTTGAAAGTTTATTTCAATGTGATTTCATTTTTTTTTTTTGCTGCAATCATGATAACTGAGAAAAAAATGCAAAGGAGTGTCGTAATAGAGTACTCATTGCTGTAAGGCAGACCGCTGGCGAAGGTTTCAACGCCGCCTACCATTCGTATTAACAACCGTAAGGGTTGCGCATGCTTAGATTTGCCCTTTTTATAAATGTAAATTGAAGAATTTAAGGTTAAAAAAGATAAATAGCTAGAAAGTTATGAAAACAACTGAAGGGTTAGGCGAGCAAAACCGCTGACACAATTCTTTTTACATTCTTATAAATTTTAGAAAAAATAGGTTTTTAACTCTAAATTGCTTAAGAGTAGCTGGGTATAAAATAAACGAGAGAAAATTTATTTTCGAAAAACAAAAAAATACTACTGGCGTGAGGATTTTGAAACATCTAAAGCAGGGGTTTTGGTAAAAGTCATTACCGGCGGTCAGTCGCTGCCAATACGATCTCTCCGACTAAGCTCTAGTGTTTGGTGTTTGGGTTTTGCCCCTACAGCACAGCCGTCTATCACACCATCGACAGTCTACATGGAGAGAAATTCTGAAACTCCTGCTGGAGCAGCTTTTTAGTAAAATATTACGACGATAATGATAAAACAAATATTTTCTAACTTTTTTTATATGATCAAGTTATTAATAAAACCCTAACCCTAACCCAAAGTTTCAGCTTATTCATACGTAGTACAGGAACACTTAATATCAACTTAAAAACCAAAGGAAACCTCAAAGTTTGGTCCCACGGTAAAATGCCACCACAGGGTAAACGGTCTATAATGAGAAAAAGGACAGGAAGCAGGCACTCAATTTTATTGACGAAATTTTATGACGTATGTAATTATCATCCCGCAGGATCCCGTTGGTTCAGTCATTGAGAGAAGCCACGATCCCGTTAGTTGTTCAAATTGGTCTTTTTTATAGCTGTACTTCTTTGCAAGATACTTCGAGAAAAAACAAAAAATCATCAATATATGATGTGCGGTTTTTTCCCACGTCAAATCAATATCAAACGCCACCAGTAAATAATTTACTTCTAAGAAGAATCCATTTGCAAAAAAGCTACTGTTTGATACGTAGTGGCAAATATTGATCCCTTCCGCTACCTGAATCACACGGAAGCAACGTGATACTTACATAAGTGAATTTATGTCCGTTCCATTTGCACCTGTCTGCTGCGGAATATTTTGTCGGTTCACCGCTAATATGCTGACTCATCTAAGCTGGTTTTGTTAAAAAATGAAACTGACGGCATAAGGGTATTCATTCTTTTTAAGCAAACATAGAATTAACGATAAAAGAATTTTCCCCATCTGCTCGTTGAAAACAGGTGGGTGAGGACGTGACCGGAAGCGGAAGTTACCTGAAGAGTTCTACCTCTGTATTGATTGTGGTTAGCCACTTCCGGTGCACTTTCGAAATTGCAAAGACTGGCTTCAGTTTCCATAGAAGTCGTGTTTTCTCTTCCCGGCTAAAAATATGGAGTTACTTCCTCTTGATGAAAAAAAAAATTAACAGCTATTTCAATATTTAAACTCTATTTCAGTCCACCTCTTCTTAGTGCGAAAATAGTTTTCTTGGCAGGTGTTAAATTTTTGTACGAGTTTAATTTTATCATAACATCACGATCACAAATTTAATTTGTGCTTCTAAATCTTTGGGTGTTATGCAATCATTTAGGGATATTGACGGATAATTTCACTGGCTTGTTTGCGACTTTTTCCGGAGGTAATAGTCAAGATATTCTTTAACTCTAACGTAAAATGCTATTTTTAAAAAATTTTTCCTGCTACTAATATAAATCAATGTGTTAATTGAAAGTCACGAAATTGTCACGAGTCCGCAAATGCGAAAGAAAAATGGATCGTTTTCTAAGCTTTCAAACAAGATGCCTTCAGGCCTTTGTTAATTTTGCTTAATCAGAGAACTGAATTCAAGCAAAGTAAACTTGGTCGAGTTAGTTATATTCGAGTTTGATACCTTAATAAATTACATGGTCCACTGCCAACTTTATTTTAATGCAAAATTTTCTGATTGAGCGAACTCGGTTATCCGACTTAAATTAAATCACTACACCCCCTCAAATTTTTTGTGGGTGACAACATCCACGCCAAAAATGGCTGGCTGCGAGAAATGTGTAAGGGTAGGTGAGTATAAAAAGGCCTGCAGTTTGGTGCAGTGTATCGAACAGCAAACAGTGAAGAAAAAAAAATACAAGCTTCTTAACTGAATTGAATTAACCACTCTCTTTTCATAATGATCAGGACATCTTTGGTAAGTCTTATACCGACTTTAGCTGCAAACGTTCTTAAGTAAGTCTTCGATAATACTTTTTGCATTTTTTTTTTAATTTTGACCCGCAGTCATGTTAGAGAGTTTGTTTGTTCTAGAACCGAAAACAAACGATTTACTTCTCACACTCTGAAGTTTATCAAATGAAGAAAAATTGCGATTGAATTCATTTAAAGATCAGTTATACAAATGACTTTAGTTTCAAAGTAACAGTTGTAGTAACTGACGGCAAAAAACTTAGTTAGCATGTAAATGAATTATCAAACCCTAACCGATTGCCTGCGTCAGTTTTTTTTGTCCTCTGTTCGTATACACCTGGCTATCTTAGTGAATGACTAACTGGGTAACAGACTGACTCAGTTCCTGAATGCAGTACGTAAAGAAATCCGCATATAGTTTGAATTTTAAGTTTTATAAGTAAATAATTTTTTCTTCCCTTATTTTCATTCTTTTGTCTCGTTCCTTCCTTGCTAAATTATTTAGCTCAGAATCTCATTCATAACTAATGACGTCCATTTTTTCACTAATCTTATTACTCCCTGACCACTCGAAAGCTTCTGTCATTAATTACTTAATAATAATTATTAACTTATTTATTCACCATTTATGTTTTCTCCTTGCAGTATACAATTCTTCTGGTAGTCTTCATTTTAAACCTCTGTCGTTCGGCAGTCATAAAGCCAACTGGACAGTCATCATCATCAGTTAACAAAAAGGGAACATGGAGTCTTAACCAAGTTCCCTTGTCCCGACAGCGACGAGATTCTCTTCTTAAAATCAATCCAGATATAAGAACTATTGCGGCGAATATCCCTTCCATTCCGATGGCTGTTCGTTTGTTCTGGAAAACGCAGAAATTTCTGCAAATCAGTGACGATGGCGTAGTGAATGGTACCGCGTTTTGTTCAAGTAAATATGGTAAGACACGCAACATCTTCGAGTTGTTTTCATAACCGTGGCTTAATTATGAATCTGTTTTTCCTAACGCTCACTCATCTACATTCTCATGCCCATTTATTTACACAATACTATTCGAAACTTAATTTTCTGGTTTTCTGGGAATTATACTTGTACTGTGAGTGATGGCTTTAGAAATTAAATAAAAGGAAAAATTTAAAGACTTCGTTCAAATTTTTCAAGGTTTAGAAAAGCGATTGTACTTTTGTTTGCAAAGAAATTAAAAATAGAGAAAAACGCAACCAATCTAAAAGTAACTGTTAAAAAGTGATTTTTCTTCAGTTCATTTGTTTCTAATACCAAATTTTGTTCAATGTTTAATGGCATTTCTAAAACGTACATTTAGGAGTGAAGAATTTCCCAGCGTACAACATGCAAACACTCTCATGTCAAGTATTTGTTCTTTGCTCCCTGGCCGTTATTTAATTTTTACAATCTTTCATTTTTAAGCCAATCTTGAGCTTGAGCCAATGGGAAGTGGATTTCAGCGTATTAAAGGAATCGAAACCGGTCGTTACGTTGCAATGAACAGTGGGGGTATTGTTTATTCAACGGTAAGTAAGGGGGTTCAACTTATAACGGACTATGTTATCAGGCACATTCGTTCGAGATTTTTCGAAATAAAATTGAGTGAGATTATCAAAAGACCTTAAGCTTTAAAAAAAAATTTTTTATTTTGATAAAGTCCCTTTCAGAACAAGACTTTCCACCAATCTCCCACGAGGGAAGGGGTAAGGGCACTTTTTCACGAAATTCATAAGGCAATGATCACAAAATCGATGATGCCACATTTTTTCATTACCTTTTCTTACCGTGATATCTCAAAGGGAAAAAATCTCAAAGGAAGAGATTTAAAAATTTTGATAAAACAATATTTGACACGCAAATAAAATGTACAATAAATTATAACGGACTGTAAGCTGTTTTTGTGGGATGCCGAGTGATCATGGCGTTATGTGATATGTCGTGGTGTAAGAAAGGTGAAGTGACTTGCTATGGAGTAACATTATGTTACTTTACGTGACGTGATAATATGTAAAGTTTTGTGTTCTAATTCGACATTTTTCTGTTTAACAGAATTCAACCAATGATGAAACAGTGTTTAAGCTAACAATGGAGAGCACATCATATCATACATTTGCGTCTGCGAAGTACTACAAAAAATCACTATACGACACATTCATATCCCTTGGACGCAATGGAAAAATCCGGAAAGGAAAAGACACCAAAGTCAGTCAAAATAAAGTAAAATTTATCATCTACACGGGAGACAGCTGTTGATCACCCTATTTTGAGCTTTAGATGTTGCTTAGCGACTCGGAATTTTTTAAAATATTCATAATTCTCGAATTTAAATCCCATCAAATGGGACGTAAAGTTGGTAAATTTTTAGAGTTTAATGCCCCGCAGGCTGAAAGTAGCTTTCAGCATGAACCTTGAAGCAATGCAAAATTGTTGGAAGAGTAATATAATTCTACGGAATAACTCTCAAGCCATTTTAAAAGTGGTTTCTGATATTATTCCTCACAATAAGGACATTTTTAAGGATCCATTTATCAGTATTATTTATGTACACCACTGATTATTTTTTATCAGATTTACGAAGTGTGAAATCAGTGTTTTATATATTGATGTAAAATTCATTAATATAATCATCGCGTCTACATTTTATTTATGCAATGTAAAGCAACAAGGCAAAACAAACAAGAAATAAAAGCTTTCTTAATTTTACAAGAAAATGTCGCTTCTATGAAAACTAAACGTATTTTTTCTGCAAACGCTTTGTAAAAGAGGATAAAGTTTGTGCTCGAGCGATGTGGCTCATGAGCCCGAGCTTTTCCCGGTTTCCAAATGAAGCGACTAGGAATATCACCCCTCCCCCCTGGATAGGATGCCAGTCCATCTCAAGGTTGACAATTCGATTTCAAACAGCCACAACATACACCTTTTTTTGCGAATAGTTTGACGTTTTCAAGAGCGTCTTTCGAATGCGCGTTGCATAACCAAAGTCAAAGCAACCACAATGACCAATCAGAACGGGGAAAAAGATCGCAGAGTGCCAGTCAAATGAAAAAAAAAGCTCGTGGAAAGAAACTTCATTTGTTCACCTCATAAAACATCCATGAATGACAAAAGAAATATTTAAAAATTATTTTCAGGAAAAAAGAAACATTGACCCTATAATCAACTTAAGAGAATTCCCTGTGGAACGAGACCCTACTTCATTAACTTGAACTTCGCTTTAGGAATTAAGCAGGAAATATGTTTAAAGCCATATTCGAAAAATTTAAAGCCCTCCTGGGTAATATTTACTTCATATGATTGTATGTTTGCCATTAAACATTGTATGAATTCTACAAAACATATTCTGCCTTTGTTTGTCATTGAGAATCCATGGGATGGGATTCTTAGCCCCAGGTTCAAAATAAACAGATTCCGGAAACAGGAAAAAATATTCAGCCGACTCACGCTATCCACGTTATTTTTAGACATACCGAACAGGTTAGATTATCTACTCGCAAAAAATGCGATACCTGTAAGTCTTTTTAAGGGACATCCGCGGCCTATCAGTAAACCTATGTACCCCTTCCTAGGGGGAGGGAATACCTCAGTTTTTGCGCATCTTTAGCGGCCTTGTCACATATCTTTTTTCCCTCTTTGCCATTGTGTTCATCTAGTACTGCTAGTATCGAGATTTCTGATTGTTCAGTTAGATACCGCATTTAGGCATGCCAATCAGATTGTAGTCGGTCTAGAAAAGCAGTTATGTGTTACGTTCATCCCTTTTTTTTAATAATTAATAAACAATCAGCTTTCCTATAAAGTCCTTATCATCTTTATCTTTCAATTTCGAGCAAAGTCGAAATGGTAACATTTTGGATCTTGAGATCCTCTTGCGTTCATAGCGGTTCTGTGTCAGTAACAACAGTAAAGAACTTTCTAATTATCGATATTCGCTCATGTTTTCTTTTCTGCCTTCTATTTTCGACATCAGCAGCTTCGTTTTGCCAAAACTATCACTAGCTATAATCAATGTTGAAAACATCATCTCCTAAAATATCTGAAAATTATTGTTTTGTTCGGAACCATGCAGTTACCTGCTGCAAACACCGAAATAGAGATTACAGAATACAGGAAAAAACAGACATTTTAAACCTGAAGTGATTCTTTTTTAATGCGATTTAAGTCTCCTGCATAGATTGTTAATTACATTTTGGTTACTAGCAACAACACAAAACAAATGCTTTTTTTCCTAGTTATCGTGTGGAAAATGCATCAAATTGCAATGAAGATGTTTACCGTTTGAATCCTAGCAGTGTTTGGTGTTCCCGAAATTTTCAGCGTGTATGGATTTCAATAACGATGTCATAAATTTCAAATTCAGACGCTGAAAACTTCAAATCGAAATATTATGATTCTAATTTAGCCCACGAAGGAATTTTCTCATTAGAGCAGTTTTTTCTTCCCTTTGGCTAAAGTCATAGAGAAAATATTATAAACAAGGCAGCAATCCTGCCCAATTTTGGCCATAGCTATGAGATAATAATTGTTTTGGCGCAAAAGTCAAATCAAATGACCGAGTGCAGTCGAGCTATTAGAGGCAACCAATCGTGTTAAGTGTAGTGTGGGTTTTCTCCTTCAATTAAGGAACATATCGAGTCAAAACACATTCTTGATGTTTTTATACTGCCGTCTGATGATTTTCTAGGCTTCGGGGGTGGTGGCATCTCATTGAAATAAGAACTAAGTTATTATCTTCCCGGCAGAAAAATATAAGATGCTATATTTAATCTTCGCATGAAAAGCAACGCCTTCAGTTGCTCGCGCATCAGCGTTCAACGAGGAGAGCTTCGTAACTGCGGGAGCTGTTATTAACTCCGAACAAAAGGTGAGCAAATTTGAACTAAGCTAAAATTTTTTGGATAAAATACATTTCTTTAGTTTAAATCTATTTGATTCTATTTTTTTTTTTTTACTTTTTACAAGGATTCGAATTTGGAGCCCACTGCCCTGTTTTAATGCAAGCAGCGTGAACTATTTGATTTTTCTCCAGACTAGTTCAACAGTTTTAGCTTTTGTGTAATTCTGTCTTTTCGAAGTAAAAATGGTGAACCAGAACTCTCGAGATTTGAAGAAAATTGGTGTTTAATGTTTATTGTCAAACAGAATAGATTAAAAATTCTGAAGCTGATTAGCATGGACGAATTTTTTTCGTACTTCATAAAGAAAAATTCACAACAAAAGGAAAAATAATGATAAAAAATTATAGAAAATTAAAGCGCCCAGTTTTCGTTTTGTCACCATCGATTCAACCAAGAATTAAAGGCAAAAAATCAATCGCACTTCAATTAAAGATCTACGTTTTTAAGTTAACGAGAAACCCCATATTAATAAGTTTAAAATCCTATGCAAGTCTGAGAAACGCAGCATTCGATCTCTCAATTGGAGATTGGAGTTGTTTTGCCACATCTTATCTGATCCAGTTGATAAAAAAGCAACAGCAGCGACAATAACAGCTTCTTCTGACAATAAGATATAAATCCTTTCTGATGCAAAACCATACCGCGCAATAAGTTTTTCTATAACTCCGATTATAATCACATGTCATCTTGGTGAGGACGTTTGTAGCCGGCGAATTCTTTTGAAGTCTAATTCTTGGTCAGCTTCATCCCCGCGGTCAATTAATCTCATCTCTACCTTTATTGCAAGAAGGAAAATGGAGAGAAAAGAAAAATTAAAAACGAAAAAAGGAAGAACTGGAGAGAGAATAATTATGTGAAAGAAGAAATGAAGAAATATTGAATGCTTTTGCCTTCATGAGTTCACCCTAGACGGTTTACCATCGCACTCCGTGAGATATTTATCATTGTCTACGAAATTTTGCAGATTTAAAACTAACTGAGATTTTCAGCGATCGAGACTAAAGGGCATCGAGAAATCCGGTCAGAAATTGGGCAATCTACGGGGTAGACTTCAGAGCTCTGTTGCTCCCAAATAACAGAACGACTGTATGCAGGTTTTTTCACCCCGGACGGCAAAATTCAAATTTGATCGGTCGGATTCCGCGGACCAAAAAAATTTACATTTACCAGAGAAAAATTGTCTATATTTGTTCATGTCAACGTATTACATGTACCGTTCAAAACCAGTTCAACTCTGATTTTAAATTTTTACGGATAAGAAAAATTTTGAAACATGACAGTTAGGATTATTTGCTGAAACGCAACATGAACTCGCGTGGTTGATGTTAAAAAAGAATTGCTCTTACTGAGGTAAGCTATTCGTCATTTCTTCTGTCAAGTGATGTCTTATAGAATGATGTCTAATTTCAAGGGCCAGTTTATGTTCTAAGGTCTCACTGCTAATGAAAAAATCTAATCGTAGGTGACGTCCAAAAAAATGCCAACATTCTAAAATCCTTCGGTGAATTATGGGTCATTTCAAGCTTTTTAATTTATTCAAGATCAACATTTAGAATAATAAGTTGGACGCCGTTTCGCAAAGTTGCGCGCTAACTTAAACGTTTTGGAACAAATGGTCATTTAGATGTTCACCTAGAAAATAATGAAAAATTCCGCGTCATTGTATTTCTTCAAGCAATACTAACCAAATAAAAGTCGTTTAAATATCATTTTTGATTCAAAGTGTTCATGGCTGATTTAGACACCCTAAGCCTCACGGTCAGATTTATCAGAGGTGACTTTTTTAATCTTTATCAAAATCACACACTGAAACCAATCCATATCGCTTTTCCTTCGACTGAACAAATTCACAATAATTGATGGATGTAAGCTTTTCACCTTTCTCAGCAAAATAAAAAAAAAATCCATAACAGGTATGCAGCTGTTTCGGGTTATTGTGAAAAGAGAACCGTATTCCTACCAAGAAATTTTCATTTCATGGTTGGAATCTAACATAAAGCGGTTAAAAGATACTTTTTGTAGTCTATTTTCGGTATCCTTTTTCTTTTTCTTTTTAAGTAGAGGAGCGTGCATTTGCTCTCACTAAAACAGTACGTGATGAGTGTGAGAGGATTGACTTTTAATCAATAGCTCTCTCCGGAATAACGTGTTCAGCTTCAACCACTTACAAACGTCACCACAACTTACATGTTCAGACTCACGTCCACAATTTATTTCCCAGCAATTAATTATTTGTCCTCTAGGAGTGTTGGGTCAGGCAATTCTGGTAGAAGAGATTAATTTTCTTAAAAGCGTCTGGTTAAGGTATGGCGGGGTAATTGCTCCATATCGCCCTACAATAGTAAGAGTTTTACTTAAGTGCATTTCGTGGTTATTGATATATTGTAGATGAGAACGGATATAAAATAGATTGAAACAAAAGAAGTCGACAGCTCTAAAAGACTGCCACAACTTAATTGTTCACTTTCTAAATTTGAGTAAAGAATTCGTCGGCAATTAAAACTTAAGCTGCTAAAAAAGATCTCCCATTATTTCAATCGAAATTCTCAACCTCATATACCATTGCATGGATAAGATTCTTCGCCAAACAAACTGTATTTCACATTTATAAAATAAATCTTGTTAATGGTTCTGAAGAAATAAGTACATAATGGATTTGAAACATAAATCAAATGGTACAAAAGTGCTTTTCAGCATTAAATGAGGAACAAACGAGGGCTCACTTTTCTTTGACATTTGGACTTAATGACATCGCGAAGAGGTTTTCAACTCACTTATAAATGCAATCATTGAAATGCAGATTAATGAAAGTGCAGTCAAAATTGCAGACAGTCAATTGTGTTTTAAAGTAGCCACCACTCACCCGTATCTTCATGAACGTCATGCATTAACTGTCGCATCACTTTACGTCAAGGGGCCTTCCGGTCGAACGCTTATGTACCCAACCTGAACTGATCATGAAAGTTTAAATGATGCAATGCTTATTCTTGCTAGATAAACGACTAAAATGGCGCTTTTACTGGAACAAGAAGTATTTTCCATGGATGCAAAGCTACTTAAAGCACAGATAAACGAAATCACGGCCTGTCGAGCGAAAGAGTGGGTCCGAACGAAGTCAGCACTCCTACAGTTAAAAGCCGTGCAATGGTCTGCGACTAAGATAAACCTGAATATATTTTCCTTGAGAGATTTCGGTGTCACAGACGAGGAAAGCAGTATTACACAAGTCAAGTTATTTAGTAAAAATAATTGGTTTCTTCGACTACAAGATGACGGTAACGTCAGTGGAACAAGAGAGCAGAACAATGATGAAGGTATAGTCAAATGGATTTGTGTATTTTCGCGCGCACGTGGCATATCACAGCATGTGCATTATCGAACTGCATTTAAATCTAAAGAAAGTTTTAAATTCGAGTATTATAGATAAATTTCAGTGTAGTTTTCGAATTTATCGGAATAAATTCTACCGAAATAGCCATACTTAGTTAAATAAGAAACGAAAAGATGCATGGAACCCAACTTAATAATACGAAATAAACTGTAAACGATAAAACCGAACAAATGTGTCATATCAAATCTTCGATACAACGGAGAGAAAAAATATGAAAGACTTTCCATTCTTTGAATGGAAAAAGAATGGAAAACAATCATCGTATCAAGATTTTTATTTCTTAATGCCGAGCATAAGCTATACACACAAAGTTGTAATTATTTCAAGCTTGTGTGGCGGATGAAAATGATTGATTCGGTAATTTGACGCTTCAAAAGAAGAGATATAGACTGAATATCAGAATCTAAATTGTTGGATCATTGTTATGACAGCTCAAGGCGACTTTGTTTATTATCAAGCAAGCATTGAAAAATGAAAAATGAAATATCTGCTTCAGAGAGGACTTATTCTGTGTCTGTTCGGGAAGCCACAAATCAATAAATGTACGCTCCAGTAGACAACATGAGCGTCAACTATTGTCTAGTTATTAGAAAGACCATCTAGAATATCATTTCAGTAGAAAATTTAACAGAAAAAAAAACAATCTTGTTAATGGAGATTCAAAATGATTCCTTGGCTTTTTAAGATGAAAGGAAACTGGAAAGATTAACAAGGAATTATATTTCAAATTCCTGAATAAGAGAACTCCTATATACAGCTAAGTTATTCATACTCACGTATTTACCGTTACAGTTTCCTGTTTAAAAAAACCCTCAACTAATCTTCCTATGTCCGCTTTGAGTTCATCAACTTCCTCAGATCATCACAAAAAAAGTGAAAGAGGATATTTCTCTAAAAGAGGCCAGGAGGGAAGACGAGGAACCTTTGACCAAAATACTCATGGTTGTTATTCGAATGAAAATAGCTCGCCAAAATTCCCTAAGGAATGCACATGTATTACGCATTGAGACCGACGCCCCTTTTAGACAATTTTCCACTTATATTTCGGAACCTCAAATTTGAGCGCATGCAGTACACACTCAGTCAAGCTTTCATCAAAGTTGAATCTCTTACTTCTTCTGAAAGCTATCATGAAAATTCGTTATCGCAGAAAAATGTAAAATTTGCTCTCAGTCCGGGAAAGCGTTTTCCAGAGAAGTAGAATTCGGCTATTTCGGTTACTCGTTTTGTGGAGATGTCTGTCTTCCTTAGTAAAAAGCTTGAGAACGAGTTTGATATCGCACGTGCAATGCTACTTTACTGCAGACTCGTACCCAGTCGGTCTCTGAGTTAGAGAACCAAAGAATTGATAGCCATTAGGTACGAGTTTCATTATATCCCTTATTAATCACTGTTCATTTGATTGAGATTTATTCAAAATCTATCACAGAAAACGAACTTGTTTAATCACCGTAACATGAATACATGGAAAAAGTTGAAAAAGCATTGAAAAGAGGCACCAACTTCATCTTAAAGTATGAAGCCCGATTAAAGAAACTGTGCTCACTATCACTTGAACAAAGAAGAGTTTTAGTTGATGACACCTTCCTTTACGAAGCGCTGAATGGCATGATTAATGGTGATATTCAACCTTATATTGATTTTAATTCAGTACATGACCGTTACCCCTTAGGCATAGCGATAACTTAACTCTGAAAAAGAAATACGCTAAAACTAACGTACTAAAATATTCATTTATAGAATTGTAAATAGATGGAATGAACAACTTATGGAATCTCGCTTTGAAACTAATAAAAGAACATTTAGGTAGAAAGTCAGAAAATTTCTATTGTTATAGTCTTATTTAAGTGTGGGAATGAGGAGGTGTGTTAATGTTATTAATTTCACTTAATTGCCTTTTTGGTGGTCTGTTTCTGAAAGGGGTCAAGGACTCCTTTACAGATCTTTCATATGGCCTGTTTTATTTTATTATTTGTCTTTATTATTTACTTTTTTATAGTAGCTAGTCGCCATCAAATCGTAATAAATAATGTCCGAGCCTCAAATAGTTTAATATCATTTCAGCTTAACTTATGGGCATCGGTGCGATGTTATTTGTTGTCGAGCGATCTTTAGTAGACAATCAGTCGAATGGATACATTTTGAGCTTAGACATAGTGAATCAGCGGAATTTGGAAAGGCGTTACTTAAAGAAAGTCCAATTCATTTTAAAAATGGTTCGTTAGGTTTTCAGAGAACAAAGGCTTTTTGTGTTTATGAAAGTCAGTTGCCACAATAAAACTTAAAATTCACGCAAGTTAGAAAGTTCCAGAAGTATATATTCTAGCCCAGTATTCTGAAGAATTTGTTGCATCTTACATGAAATATTTCGAAGGAAAAGTTAA